TACTACTACTACTACGACGACTACCCCTACTATTACTGCTATCATTAATTAGTAATAGTACTAAAAGAAATGTCGAATACCAAACTAGCGGGCTCACTACGCACTGCTACTTTTTGAGGGGGCTGGCCTTTTTGCTTTGGGGAGGCGGGCGGGGGGGACCACTACTACTTTTGCAAATTTCTTCGGGAGCAGGGGTCGGAACACTACCACTACTTTTTGGGGGAAGGTCCCCACCACCATGCAGCTACTACTACTACTACTCCTACTACTACTACTACTACTACTACTAGTAATTTCGGAAGGGAAAGGACGGCCACCACTACCACTACTACTTCTACAAAAGACAGGCGAGAGTAGTGCTGGGGGGGGTAAAAAGACAAAGAGAAGAGCAGTGCCTCGGAACTACTTTCGCGCGTGCTTCTTGGGCTCCAAGGTTACGAATAATGCAGGACCCGCAAAACATTCTTGTCAATGCGGACCTGGGAAGCTGGTGGACTACCCCCGTGCAACAATCATTGCCTGTCCTCTTAAAACAAGCGGTGTGACGAGAAATCGGCAGTTTTGGACCTGGCCTGAAAACTGAACTCTTGAAGCTTGAGGTCCTTCCCAAACGATTCAACGGGGCTGAATAATTTCGGCCAAACTTCAGGCCTCCAATGCTGCTGCTAATCGGGATTCGACATTACACCCAAAACAATAAATGCTTGAGGTTTAAGGTTCCAGTAGCAAACCAGTGGTAGTAACACATATCAACCCCCTTGCATCCGCCAACCCCTACTTGCGCCGGGGGTAACACACCCCATACATGTCATCTACTGCGGACGCTGGCATTGGGATTTCGCATCAGCAGGAAATTTACACATCAGCAAATGGGTAATCCCAATGTAGGCGCTGATTCCAGGGCAACCAACGCAAGGGTGAATTCCCCCGTTCTGCTGTGGACGCTGGGGTTTGACAAGCAAATCAAAAGATGCAAGGCTCAAATTTCGTATGCTTCCCCATGTAGACGCTGGTTTTTACACATGCCCCAACATCCAACATGGGATGATGAGATACTGCCATTTCCCGATTAATGCGTTGTGGACCAAACAGGCCGCCCGAGACAGCTTTCGACACTAAACGATTAAGCCATGGCACATAAACAATCAACGATAGAACAGGTGGCCTTCCGTGAATTGCAAACAACTGCATAGACATGGCACTGTGTCATATCTAGTATTTTCAGGAGTGAGACACAGCATGCAACATACAGCAATGCCGTACGAACATGCTGCATCATGAGCTGAAACCCTGCGCACGCTGTAGAAACAGCACAATTGCAAGACTTGTTATTGCGTGACATCTATTCTGGCAGATGCTTTTGAACTGGGTCCCCCAGTGTGGATGCCGCTCGCCGTGTGAAAAAACCAGCCGACGTGAGATAACCCGACCAGGGGCAAAAGGGTGCTCAGAAGATACATGAGCTTTTTCCAACGTCTCAGCTTCCGCCAAGCCGTTTTTTTCTGACGTTCTTATCCGTCCTCTAGTGACCGCCCACACTCCCAGGCCCTGGAAGGTCTGGAGGTTGCCTCGAGAATGGCATGGCTTCAGCGTGCTGGGCGCTATCCCCAGCTAGCAGCTAGCATCCGCAGGACCATGGACTGCAGCTCAAGTGACAGTATGACGACTGAGGCGGGTTCAACATGGCGACTTGAACCCAATGTAGAGCAAGACCAAAGAGGTCACAAAGGGAGACGAGTTGCGAGAGGACTACCAAGACAGCATGAGAAGGCCCAAGACAGAGATGACTTCCGAGCAATTCAGTCTCGTCGAGCCAAATGAGTTTGAAATGCAGGGAAGTACAAAGTAGGGATGGCTTCTTAGGTAGCAACACCTGCACGTGCGTTCAGTCAGGAACGGCCAATTCAAATCGCAGCAAACACCAACAAACCCCAGCGACCTGTGCTGCTTCTTCGCGACAACAATGTTATAGGGTCAGTGAAACGAGCCACATTTCCCACACTTGCTTTCCTACGTGCATTCCATGTCGTTGCTGGTGCCACCTTATTACAAGGCAGGTCTTAAAACCAGAAAAGACCTGGAAACCTGACTTGCTCAGTAAGGCTGTTCTTGACATGAGAATAAGAAAGTGGATTCTCAGGCCTGATTTGCTCAGTAAAGTTAGTGAGGATTGAAAGGCTCGAGCATTACTTCCTGAGCTACCCCTTACAGATCTTGCTTGAGAGGATCTTTCTTTACAATGGAAAACCCCCTAGAATAACAGCCTTTTTCATGGTAGCGGCTCATTGAGGGGGGGGGGCGTGGAGGGGGGACAGGGGTGGTTTAGGCCGGGGAGGTTAGGGGGCGGTGCCGGCTGCCCCTGCTCTGTGTAAGTACCGGCAGTACCGCAGAGCAGTGGTTGCAACAGCCGGAGT